TGTGTGTGTGTGTGTGTGTGTGTGTGTGTGTGTGTGTGTGTGTGTGTGTGTGTGTGTGTGTGTGAACACTATTTATTAACATATTTCAGCACTTAGTTGTGTGTTTATTTTAGCTTTTCATTTAGTTATTTATACTGCATTGTGTTTAGTAGCATACTGCATATACTGAGACTGAAACTAGTTATCATTACAAATAGCTGAATGACAATAAAGCTGAGTCTAAAAATTGGCTAACATCACTGTAGTTTCCACCCAGAGTACAAAGACATGTGATTGACTGGTGATGCTAAACTGACTGTAGTTGTGAGCGTGTGAGTGTGTAGTTGTCTATTTCTGTGTTTTAGACTGGTTATGGACTGGTGTACCCCTGGCTTTTACCCAGTTTTGGCTGGGAATGGTTTCCAGCCTGGTTGAACAAGCAGCAAAGAAAATGGACTGATGGAAGGAAAAAGAAATCTTATAGCATCTGACAGTTATTTGTGCCGTGTTCTTGTATACCCAGCAGAGGGTGTTCATTATGTACAAGTTGCTAAATGGACTGGCCTACTCTGCTGGCTCCTAATATATATGTGAAAAAAGAAAGCTGTAAAGTCTTTGCAATTGCTTCAGCTTATTCTAAAACCCCAAACAACCCTGAAGCTCCCAAACAGACACTAAACATAGGATGAACTATTCCGGACTTCAGTTTTTCTTAAGCATTCATCATCATTATTTACACAATTTGCTTATGGATTATTATTATTATTTTTTTTTTTTTTTAAGTGATGCTTATGGATTATTAAGGTATTCTGGTTGTTTTAGCAACCTATTCAAAAGTTATACTAATTTGCATTGCAGAGGTGTGTTGCTATATTTGATTGATTTACAAATTAAAGCACAAATCTTAAAGTGCTTCTTCACTTATTTTTTTATGTTTACTACCTATTAAATCATTGTAACTAGTCTACAGTTTATTCACTCATCTGCATGCAGTGAAGCCGTTAAATATAAGAAGCTGAAAATATTGTGTCTTTTTTCAGATAAAAATTGTATATAAATCTAGAATAATTTCATAATAATAATTTCAAATTGATCTGATGTGATCAATAAAGGACTGACGTGATAGAATGTTTGTATCCAAGATTTTTAAATACATTTAATTAAATTCCGAAAACAAAAAACATTCGTGTTTCCAACTATATAAGTGGACTGGCTGTGGTAAAATAGCAAAGTTAGCCATGTCTTTGGTATGTTGTCAAAGCAGAATTCAAAGTAATAGAAACTCTGGCTCTCACATAATTCTAGCGTCTTTTTTCATGCTGTATAATTGCTTTGAAATAAACACCAACTGTATCACTGAAGCTTAACAATCTGTAACTCAATCACATCTATGTGGCTAACAATCTTCACTCACATCCAAGTAGATGAGCAACATTATTGCTGAATTCTTTTCTGTTTCATTCTTATACTTACTAATGTTGTAACAGCTTGTTTCACCCCTACCACTTTTCAAATACTACACGCGTTTAGTGATTTTGTATCTATATCTACAGTCCATAAGCACATCTCCACTCTTTCCTATTTTAACTTATTACTGCTTCACCAAGAACAGTCAAAATGCAGACTCTCCTGGTCTTTTTATTTCAAAATTTCACCCTGCCAACTTTATTGTATATTTAAAAAAAAACAGCTCGCCAAACTTTAATGTTTTTGTGGAGAATAAGACAGTACATTTAGGGTTTGTGTGATGTAAATGTAAACACAAAATAAATGTTTAGATTTTGTTTTACTAGAAAAAAAGAAGATGGAAGAGATGAGACATGAACTGAGTTGCAAGTTCTTTTTTATTTTGATCAGCAGATAAATACTCAAACTACAACACCAATTACTTTGTAAGATATATAATGATTTTTAAGAAAGAAAAATGGGAAGAAACATTTAAATGTCACATCTGTGAAGAGACGGACTGTTTCATCACAGCAGTGTGAAGCTTCTCTTCCTGCGAACATGATGTCGAGATGTGGTGCAGTCCGTCTTGGTACACCCACACTGTTCCACATACATGTATGTGTAGGGGACTGTGTCTCCATTCAGGCAGACCAGGTCAACAGTGCGATTGCTGAAGTTTATCTCCTTACAGCATGAGCAGGAATGCTCCATAGCTGCTGCTGCTTCAGAGTACCTAAAGATAGCAGGGGACAGGATTATTAATATAGTCAAAGTGTAAAATAACACTTTTTGTAACTTTCCAGGGAACCATATAACATTAAGGTTATCCTTACATGGTGTAAGTGTTGCAGGATCCTTCACAATATGGCATATCTACCTCCTGGGAGGACTGACAACCGTTGAATGTAATATGGGTTTTCATGGACATTAACTTGCATCCCTTCTCCTTCTCCACACCTTTTACAAAAAAAGATGTTGAGTTAGTTTCTTTTATTTCTATTTAATGTAAATCCATCCATCCATACTGCTCCGCTTATCCAGATGTCATAGGCTGAAAGGCAGGTACATCCTGGACAGGTCGACACTCTGTCGACTCCGTCATAGGGCTAACACCGACAAACAGCAATTCACAGTTAAATTCACACCTATGTGGAATTCAGAATCAACAGTTAACCTAACTCCACTAAGTGCATGTCTCTGGACTATTGGAAGAAGACACAGTACCCGGAGAGAACCCATGAAGGGAACATGCAAACTCCACACAGAAAGACCCTGGCTAGCTGCTGGATTCAAAACAAGTCCCTTCCGGCTGTGAGGCAACAATGTTAACCACCACACCACTGTGCTGCCTCTGATTAAAATATTATATATCAAAATGTTATACTCACAAATTTTGCAACAGCCGTTTGCTGCAGTTTGAATTGTTTCCTAATGAGGAAAATATACAACATTAACAAAATTTGTTTCGTTTCATTTCATTTCAGACAGATACAGTCAATCAATCAACATTATTTTTTAAAAGCATACTTACAGGTTGGCAGTTGCTCTCTTGGAAGGGTGGGCAGACAGTCTGTGAACGACTTGCTGTTAAAGTCTCACCATTCTTAACACAGGTGTAATGTTCACACTTATTCTCCGATGGTGACCAGGTTTCTCCTTGCTAGAAAGCAGTGAGATAGATGTATACACAAATCCACACAAACTTAGTAGTATTTATTTAAACACACAAATAAGCACTTATTGGTGGTTGGCTTAGATGAATTAACACATGAAGTTACAACCAGCTTACAGTCAAAAGGTGTTTGGTTCCATTAATGTTGACAACGCAGTGTTTCTGTACACACTTCCCGCAGCATTCATCTGAATCACTTTCCACATATCCATATCCCTGTGAGACACCGAGAGCAACGTTAGCTTGTGAAGCCCAATCTAGCAAGCGACACACTAAAGCCACCAAAGGAAAACAAACTGGGATGTATGGTGTAAGTGAAGATGACGGCTTTATTGTCTCTTACCAGTTCACAGTGTTCTTTGCATTGTTGAAACACACAAATTATTTTTAATAGACCAGATTTGGGGTCAATCTGATTGGCACAGGTACAATCCTGACATGCAATCACAGGAACTGAAGAACCAGGCTGACAAATAAAGCGAAAAGGTCATACATAATTATTCCATCATTAAAGGTAAAAAGGTGAGAAATGACAAGTTCTTCTTATTTACCTGATATTCAGTTTCTCTGTGTACACAAACTCTTTTAGGTTCTAGGAAAGAGTTGGACAAAGACGAGGTGAATTGCATGAAAGTACACACACACACACACACACACACACACACACACACACACACACACACACACACACACACAGATAGATAGATAGATAGATAGATAGATAGATAGATAGATAGATAGATAGATAGATAGATAGATA